ATATAACTATATATTTTTTTAGGTGCTGAACATATTTTACTTAGAAAGTAATATAGATTATCTTAATAAAATTTTGAATAATTTTAATTTATTTAATTGTCCAAAATTGTCCAAAGTGTCCAAACTCACTGTCCACAACTGTCCCGTGATAATACTGCCAGAGACGCCTTAAATAACAAAGTAAAGAATCTTCAGATATAAAAAAAATAAACAGTAATGATGAATTACTATGACTCTTAATAACCCAAGTCTTAGCCACTACTTAGCTCTATTATACTATTATGACTCAAGGCTTATAGGCTTATATGCATCTTCATTACTACTTGTACATATCTAGTTACAATTTTTTTGAAAAATCAGAAATCATAAGATTTATTTTCTGATGTTTTAGATCGAATTTTATTAATATTCAACCAAAATATTGCGCAATATCTTACATAATATTCATAATAATCTAACAAAATATTTTATAATTATATATTTTGCAATATTGCGCAATATATTGCATAATATTATAGCCTTTTTACCTTGCATAATTTATTGTGCAATATTACGTATTATTAAATTTGCTGATGTAGTATTAGCCTTCTGATTATAAAACAAATTTCAAATTAATATAACAGACCACTTCTGAGCATCCATGAAGTAGCTGAGAGATGTTGAGCCTAAATATTAAGCTCAACATTATATAATCTATTTATATAATAATCTTAATAAAGAATCACTGACAAGGTTACCAAAGATTAAAAAAAAAAAAAATTGTTTTTGCTATAAGTTTATATATAAAAAAATTTAGGTGTGATAAATCAGGTAACTGTTATGGTAATGGTTTATTTATTATAAAATGTTTCTAGCAAAATCGTATTAATCAGTAGAAATTTTTAATGACCTATCTATTGCAGAAAATATTCAGCAAAAAAATAAAAATAATATTTCACCACCTGTTATATATAAGGTGAAGAATCCAAAATTTCTATGGCCTTTCTTAGAAATATTAGCTTGGGTTAATTGCAATCCCCTTATTGCAAAAGAAGTTTATAAAGAGCAATATGTGAAACCTTTACCTAATGAAGAGACTATATATGTAGGCTCACCTTGGAGGACAAGAAAAACTTATACTTTAGAACATTTTATTATTCCTAATGATATAAATTTGCTTGCTTTATCTATACATCATATCTATTCTAGTGCTGTTACTACAAAGCTAAATCGCAAATCATATTGTGATATTTATACTAAAGATATAAATCTTTCAGATCATCAAAGAGTAGTATATCAAATAGAAAGTCTACATTGCATTACCAATAATTGCAAATGCAAGAAAAAATGTAAGTATTCTTCAATATAGTACTATATGATTTATGGCTAGATAAGGTGGTGTTTGTGATTAGTCAAGCTCATATTTATTTAGCAGGATGATCAAGAGAATATTTATATAAATTAATTTAAGAAGCAAAGCATATTATTGTTATAGATAATGACCTTACTAACCTTAATATAGAATAGATTAAAAACCTCCAAAAGATCAAACAATTTTCAGTTATCTATAATACTCACCAATCTTAGAAAGACAAAATATTCCACTTGGCTTCTAATAAAGAAACACTATTAACAGAACTCTGAAATTAGGCAAGAAAAATATCTATATTGAAACTTGAAGAATGAAAGGATGCATCAGTTATATACCATCTTAGATATGATTTAAAAAGAATTGTTTGCACCCTTAGAGATGATTTTTCAAAATTATGTATTAAGATATATCATGGTAAATCTGATTCTGTTAAGAAAGCATAAGACTTTAGCGATATTAAAGAAGCATGAAAAGATGTTGATATAGTAGCATATATCAGTACATTAAAGATTAAAGTCTTATGTACTAATTTGAAGTTTGAGTGAGCATTTTGTCTTTTCAAAAGTAATATAGAAACAAATGTTAGAATGAATCAAATGTTATTTCGTATGAGGTGTATTAAAGAATATACATATCACATTGAACAAAGATCATCAAATCTCCCAATTACAGAATATGGATTATTCAACTGGTTATTAAAAGCTAAGCACAAATGCCTTCTCCAAGAACTACAGAATAGGGTATATTTTTAGATATTGAATCAATTATTTGAAATAAAGATATTCTAACTATCTGATTATAGGTGGTCTATATATTGAAAAAATTTTAATTCTGCCATCTGTTTGAATGAAAAATGGTTAATTTTTCTAAAAGGCAGGAATGTTGATTGATATATTATACTCAGTACCATTATCTAGAGATGTAGAGGAAAACTAAATTCATTAAAAAATAAAGTAGATGCATATTCTATAGTTTGTAAAGCAGAAGAAGAAAAAGAAATTGCAAATACTAATATTATGAATTACAAAATAGCCAAAGTTCTAGGAAATAAACCAAAAAAGACTTTAAAAAAGATGCAGGCTTTAAAGCAATTTCATATAGTAGAATGTTACAGATTATCATCTGAATCTTTAACAGAAAAATTTATCGCAAATTATAATAAATATAATGAAATGAAATGGTTTAAAAATCTTTAAAAATTACGAAATGCAGGTACTGATAATAAGACAGCAGTTGAGGCTATTATTTGTGAAGATTATAGGAATAATAAGCTTATAACTGTTACCTAAGCTAAAAATATCGAATTTGTCTAGAATTACTAAAGACTTGTATACTTGTTAAAAATATTGATGATAGAAATAATTACAATGTAAATGAGGTTAAAGCATATTTAAACTTGCCAGAATTGATAAAATACCTTCAGAATTTAGTACTAAAAATAGCATGAGTTTTTGATAATACAGATTTCATCCCAACATGCTAAAAAATCTGGTTTAAAATCTGATAAAGCAAAACTTGGTCTATTAAATTTAGTACTTTTTGTAACTTATAGAATAAAACTTAAAGCAAATAATAAGAAAAATAACTATTATTATCTAGTTGGACCATTCAATAGTGCACATGCTTCAAAGTTGTCACCATATCAAACAGGTGAAGGACAATTCTATGAAAATAGTAGATATAGTAGACTCTCACTTGATGAATTAGAAACCTCTTCCAATTCTATCACACAAGATACTCAGGACCTATTTGATATCATTTAAAACAAGCATTTAAGGTCTATGATATATCTTATAAAGGAGATTTTTGTGATACTTAAAAAATGCAATTGAAAAATTTAACTCTACAGTGATCTCAGAGTTATATTATATCACAAAAGAGGTTTTTGTGATACTTAAAATTGATACTTGTAAAAAAATGCTTTATTACAAAAACTATTTTTGTGATACTTAAAATTAGGATCTATAAAATTATTCATCTGCTTCTATTCTCTATATTTTTTATCTCTTATACCAATTTTAAAAGTAAACACTCTTTGCATATTTAGAACAATATTCTGTTCTAGGAATTGTTAGTTTTTTACAAATCCTATAAAGAAATTTTGCTATATTTGTATTATATAATTTCCAGTGCAATGAACACTCTATGTCTCGCCAACAACCTTTCTCACAAATCAAACTATCTCTTTTAATATATGGGCAGATTAAATATCCCAAACTATCTTTTTTAACATATTGATGTATTGAATACTCCAAATCATCTCTTTTAATATATTGATAGGTTGAACACCTCATTCAAAGTGTTTTAATATATAATATATAAACACTGTTTCACTTTTTATGCAAATATATTTAATATAAAACCAATTTAAATCTTTTCAGATTATAATAATATATTATATAGTGGACACTATTCAAAGTATTGCTTATAACTCTTATATTCCATAAAATCCTATATATTTGCTAAAATATTTTTTACTTATATTTTTATATACAGTATATAAAAAATCAATTTAAACTTTTCCAAATTATTTTGTAATAATATAATCAAATATATATTGACACTATATATACCACATATCTAATGAAAATACTTCAGAAAGTAGTCAACTTATTAACTAAAAAAGAGTGATCACAATAGACCAACATTCTACTAACTAATTCGCAATAGTTTTAGGTATATAAAAGATTTAGCCAAATTTCTACAATTATCAAATGTTATAGATTATTACTATTTTGAACAAATTAGATTTATAAATGCTTTATCTCATCTAGCTATAATACTACTAATTGATATAATGAAAAATAGGTCCAATATTTATAAGAAATAGTTCATAAGTATAGAAATATTTCAGAATCTATTCCAAGCATTATAAAAAATAAAAATAAATCATAAACCTTAATATAGCCTGAATCACAACTCCAAAGCTATAAATTTTTTTTGTTATATCTTATATGTTAGTAAATTTTAAATCAACATTTTGGTTACCCTATAGGTATGTATAAACTCTTTTTTCTGAGTATAGAAGGAAAAAGTATAATTAATTTTGATTGAAAAAAAAAAATCTCTATAGTATATATTAGATGAAAATAGTCTATATAAACCATCTCAATTAATATATACTAACCATGACAAAAATTGCTACATCATTTGTAAATCACTACAAATTGACTTCACAAATTAGTTTACCACAGCTTAGTAGTTATATTGAAAAGTTGGCTAGTAAACTTTTAAATAGCAAGACAAAAGAGCAGGCTCAGAAAGCTAGTATCAGACTAAAAGATGCTTCCAAGAGTTGGGATTAAGTAAGAAGCAAGCTGATATTCTTATTTCTATTTAATCCTCTGGGAGACATGTTAATGAAAGAGATCCTATCAAAATTATTGCTCAGAATATTATAAAAAATCTCTCACCTAAAAAGATAAATGAAATAGCATATAACTTGGCTTCTTCTGCTCCCACTACTGTTGCTGAAAATTCTCAGCTTAATTTATTATGAAAAGAGTTGTATAAATTTAGAGCTAATTATTTCATCACTGAGTTAACGAAAATACTTTTTGTTACTAAAGAAGCAAATCAGATTCAAGCAAAAAAATGTATACTTTGTAGAATTAATGATTATGATTGTCTTAAGTTTTTTTATCTAGAAAAAGTTTGGAAAAGACTTAACAAATGTGATATTACCAAATCTCCTTCAATACAAAATCTAATAGACATAATGATAATGCTATATATGTAATCAGCAAATATAAAAAATCCTAGGGTTTGGGTCCTATAGCTTAGCAGTTAAACTCCCAAACCCCACAGACCAGGTCAATAGTTCGAGTTGGGCTGGAGGCAAATTTTAATAAAATTTGCTTCTGTAATCTATGGGGGCCATTAAATCGAATGCAAAGCTCTGTGAAAAGTCCAAGTACAATATGAAACCAGAATAAGAAGTTCCTGGAAAGAGACCAGGTTATGAAGCATAGGCATTACGTGTAGTGCAGTCTTATTGAATCCCAATTTACTCAACTTTATCCTACACCTCTAATAACTTCCAGACTATATACAAACTGCTCTTTAAATTCCCAACTTATTGCAAATAATTATACTATCTTAATTCTAATTAATTTAGCTACTAAGTTTCTTGGACGAATTAATTCACACAACAAAATACTCAATCTCAATGCAAATTACTTAGACCTCTTATTTTCTATTGCTTTACGACACCCTCTTTAAACTCTAACAACAACTAATATTTCAATTTCTACTTTATCTCACAGATAGAAATTTGATATATCCTACACTTAAGCTATACAAATCGGGTAGCAGATGAGTGAGGATGACATAGGATATCCTACACATATAGTACACATATAGTATACTAATCCTACACAAATACTTAAATATGTAAGATAGGTGTAGGGTATGTGTAAGATATGTGTAGTTGGTTCGCAAACATGTGTGAGATATCCTACATGTTATTACACAGGATAGGTGTAGGATAGGTATAGGATATGTCAAATTCGGACCTATAATACCTACATTTAGGCTGATCTAGACTTCAGTAACTTACGCCTAGTCCGAGAACAAGTACTTGCGAACTGAAGCCGCTACCATTACCTATTTCTGCCCTTGTAGAGTTCACTCTACCTCAGCTCCTTACTCATCCAATCGGGAACTCTTCCACTGTTTCACCAAACTTCCAATTCAGATAGCCCGATTTGGTCCACAAGTTACATTACCTGCTTTTCTACTAGCTTAATCCAGATACCGGCCTGTGCCCTTTTCCTCTGGTCGATTCCGGCGGCCTGATTGGTATAGTGTTCGCCAAACACCTGGTCCTCGTTCAGATCTACAGCTTATTGGTTCTCTTCTTAGACTTTCCAGAACTGTCAAAAGTAGTACTACCTCTCTACTCGGGACTTGCAAAGCGGATTCCTATTTGGGACAAAGTCCAACAGATTTATACAGGTCCTGGTGACTTATCATGAGTTTACACTGCCTTTATCGGTTTGTATCCCTTCATGTAACTTCTCTATTGCACAAATGCCCTAAGATCTTCTAAGTCTGTACTACCATCCCCGATTAGGGCTTGCAAGATAAGCCATCCATTAGGCGATCATTACCCCTTGCACCTATTTGGTCTGACCGTTGTTACAGGATCTCCATCCCAATACACGAAATAGTCATCAATGCACAGAAGAATTCAATTTTTCGTCGTTAGTGGGAATTAAACTCTGGATGTGCCACTTTGGGGGTGACAACTTGACTACTTCACTAAGTCGCCACATCCCCAAAATAGTTATTTTTATCTTTAATATTCTGATATTTATATATAAAAATTGAAATAAAAATTAAAAATTACTTCTTGAAAAGTTTTTTCATACATTATATTATATTTATCTACCAACTTATTCTTTATTTTTTTCAACCTATTTTTAATATAAACAATTTAAGAAATTAGTTTTTTAATTTTGTGAAAAATCTCATCCTGATTATTTAAAATTTTTGTTAATATTCTTGCTGTATTATGTTTTTAAAATTAAATAAAATTAATAAAAATAAAAAAAAAATTATAATAAATTATTTATGTATATTATAAAAATAATTTAAATACATTTGGAAGTATTTGAAACTTTAAAGAAATGAGAGAAACAATCTGTATCTATATCATTAAATTGTTCTAACTCTTCTCTTTCTCTAATTTCTAAGCTTTCTACTGTGTATTCACTTCTTTTTCTCTTCTTCTTACTTTTTTCTTTTTTTGCTAATTTTTTAGAACTAACGACCAAACTTGCAAACATCTTTATCTTATAATATTTTATAATGTTGAAATATTTTTTTTCTTAATAATTATTATTCTTAATAATTTCAATTATATTTGAATTATTTTTATAATTTATAAAATATTTATAATTATTTACCTATATTTTAAAAAAATATAAAAAAATCTTAAATGGTTTTTATAAATTAAAAAGTGATTAAATATTTTAAAGCTTTAATCTAAAAAAGTAAAGTTAGTTATTAACAAATAAAGATTATTTTAAAAAACTCCAAAAATTTTAAATAGCTTAATGTTAGGCAATACAAATAAAATTTACTGGTTTATATAACATTTTAAAAATTTTTAGACCCGGCCGCCCGGAGGTTTTTTTTATATATATAAAAATTTTATAAATAATAGCCAAATTAGTCAATCGAGTAAAAATTCGATTTTCAAATTTTTGATTTCAGATAATCAAATCTATTTTTAATATAGTAATAAAAATAGATTTGGATCAATTAAAACCATTTGACTAAAAAATATCAGTAATCAGTTAACTAAATTCAATTTTGCTTTTTATGAAAATAGTTTATTCATATGAGTATATATAACTTATACTAATAAACTAAGAAAAGTACAATTTTAAAATTATTGAAGAGATAGATTTGCAATTGTATACGCAGCAGAATGGCTTAATAAAAGTAAACTTTAAACAGAACTGTTGTGTCTAAATTGCTCTATAAATCAAATAATTATTACAGAGAATTTATAAAGGAGGTAATTTTTATTAAATTATTTTATTAGTTTCATAATTTTAATACTTTAATATAAATTTCATTTAATGAATAGTTAAAAGCATATTGTGATATCAGACTTAACGATTGGTATATCTAAAGATTATTATGCACAATATAGTAGTTTGTATCAAAATTTACATACTATTTCGAAAATAGATTGGAAAGATAAATTAAATCTATTGCAATGCATTGTATTAGATCTTTAGGTAATTCATTCTTATAATCTTATGTATTCATCAGGATTTATATAGTGAAAATATATTGTTAAATAGCTTAAAAAATATATTTATTGCTGATTTAGTTGTGTTAAAATTATTCTGCAGTGTTTATGAAATTTTACCATACGTTCCACCAGAAGTTTTGATCAACTTAGCATCAGATATTTATTCATTTGATATCATTATTTGGGAAATCTTATATGGAAAAGCTGTATTGTATAATCAAAAACTCATTAAAAAAATCTGAAAGTTTAATTTGCTTTTTGGCTAATGTCACTTTAGCTTTTTAGTGATTTTACACATATTGATAAACTTGCTTCTATTTTTGAACATATTCTCATAGTACGAACCTTCAATATTCTCAAACATTAATTTGGATTTATTAAATTCTAATAAAATGCTTTTATCATTTTGCCATTTCTTAAAAATTACAAAGAGATAAACATTTCTCTGAATTTTTATCCTAACATTCATAAAGTTTATATATACCAGAAACAGAGTACAAAGTATGTAGAGTATGGTTTACAGACAAGTTAAGTGGAGTATACAATTATAAGCATTTGATTGGACAAAAATGCCTTGTGATTTTGTGCAGCACCCTAAACAATATTAAAAAAGAATGCCATCTGGAATATACTTACATACGTATGTATATACGTGCCAGGAACAGAGTATTTAAAGATCATTCAATCAAATAACTTGGCATTATTACGTATTCAACTCGTGATCTGATTTTAACAAGTTTTTACAATTTTTACTTGTTGTATCATTGTGTATGTACCAGTTTTTTGCTATTTATGACTTGCAGTACTTTGATTTTTTCAGTTTTTTTATATGCCTATTTATACTAGGAACATAGTGAAACAAAGTGTATAATTTATAGCCAACTAACTGTGTACAAAATCTTGCATCTTATTGGGCAGCATCTACAAGTTTTTAACTTATACATATATAAGTACATATTAATCTGGTACGTATATATAATTCAGGATATATATTGCTTACAGAATAATTGGTTTGTATAACCCAAGTATAAATAAATAGACTGCATCAGGTTATTGACTCTTTTTTTTCAAATCAAAGCCAGAAATAGAAAA